TTGACCCACAGCTCTACTTCTGGCTTTTTGGAGGTTAACTGGAGGTATAAGTCTCAAGGACTTTCTGCCAGGGTTTGCTTTCAATCATAATCCTTATATCTCAGCAGCCTGAACAGATTGGATTATAGGTGTGAACCAATGGCACTCAACCTACTCCCCATTCTTTTTCCTAAACATATATTTGTATTATCTTTAAGTAGTTGTTCATTGGAGTTGCCATTCATTGAAGCAGTTTATGAATACAGTGTGTATTGATCAATGTCACCTCTTCCAACATTCTAGATCTCATTCTTGATAAAATATTCTAATTATATTCCAGATGTCATTATCTATCGATGAAAAACTAAACATGCCCAATTGGGCCTCTTAGACATTCTCTCATAGATTTTTGTCTCACTTGATTGTGTTATATTTCCTAAACTATAAGCCTGTAAATATACCTTCTCTTTTCTATTCAAATCTCTCTCCCCTCTTTTCTCAGTAACTGTGATTTACCACATCCAGTCACTTAAACTTCATAATGACTAACTGGATTTTCCTCTTATCTAGTCCACTGTAATCTCCTTTATTCCTATTTTCTTCTACTTCTCATTTATATTTGTAATTAGACTTTAAGCTTAGAGAATACTGGTGATATCTCTTTAACACCCAGAACTTACCTCTAAAAAGTATTCCTTAGTGAATGTACATAAGGAGAACACAACTTGCCTAAAGTCTTATAGGCCTTGTGATTTGAATATGCATCTGCTTCCTGAGAAATTAATATGTGTCAATTTGTTTTTTAAAGAGTATATTTCTAGGGGCTGGGAAGGTGGCTCAGTGGTAGAGCACTTGCCTTGCATGCCTGAGGCCCTGGGTTCGATTCCTCAGCACCACATAAAGAAAAAAAACAAAAAGCCGGAAGTGGCGCTGTGGCTCAAGTGGTAGAGCATTAGCCTTGAGCTGAAGAGCTGAGGGACAGCACCCAGGCCTAGAGTTCAGGCCCCACGACCAGACAAAAAAAAAAAAAAAGAATAAGAATAAGAGTATATTTCTAGTTTACTCTCTTACTATGTTTTAGGCTATTAGTAAATGTTCTAATAGCAAGATTTTTTTGTTTTTATTTTAGATCCCAGTTGTTGACAATATTATCTGAGTTATATTTACTGCAGATAGTTGGTTTGGTTTATTAATAACAACATGTGGACTTTCGGGGGGTTAATACCTATGGGTCTAGAAATTGGATGAATTATAATAATACCAAAGATACCTTCAACAGTCGCAAGAATTATCTAAAATGTACACCTTATGAGAGAAAAATGTCCTGTCAAGAAAACATTTACTAACTAAATCACATTTACTAACCACTTTGATTTATGGGAACTGTCATTCCAAAAGATCTTAGCTTGTTTAAGAGATTTATTACCTAAGAAAGTCAAATCATAGATACACAGCTCTGCTGGGTTTGGGCTGCTCAAGCCCTGTGTACATCTTCTTGTGCATTGTATGTAAACAGAAAATTTCACATTGGTAAGTAATACCTCAGTATACATTTTGCCAGGAACTCTGAGGTTAACTGGAATTGAGTTTTCAAAATTCTAAAATTCAAACAAAAAGGTATAATTGTTCTTTTTTCTCTATGTTTTCACTGAAAAGGAATTCTAGAATGTCTAAATAGAAAAGGATTCTTGGCCAGCTGACTGATCTTAGAGAATGCTTCCAGAAACCCATGGTCTGGAATTCTTCAGAGTCCTGACAGATTACAAACCTTTACTGCCTTTTATTACTAATCATGGCTCAGATCAAGTGCCTATAAGGAGCCAGGACCTACTTGTGAGACTAGGGTTGAGTTCAGAAGTTGAACATCTTCCAGTGAACTCTCTCCTAACAGTAGATCTTTCTCCAGACACCAAAACTCTTTGGTCAGTGCTGATGGCATTGTCTAAAGAGACATAGACATGTATATGATGAGTGCTCTCTAGAAAAAGAACTAAGAAAGAATATTAATGAATAAACATGAGTCACTTATTTAGTAGATATTTTTTTCTATACACTTCCTGCCACTTAAACTTATCTATACCACTGGCACAGTGACTTTTGCAGACCTAAACATGAGGGTGTACAATTATAATGCAATGGTTTAGGGGTAAAATATAACAATGTCAAAATTGTACAGTGACTAATTGTTATGATTTGAATCGCAACTTCAGAAGCTCAGGTGTTAAAAGTTTGCAAAGGATGCAATGTTAAAAAGTTGGGCTTTGAGGAAAGATTATGAATGGATTAATCCACTTATAGATTCATAATTTAATGATCTATTGTTAGGTGGAGTAGGGTCTAGTTTGAGGATAAAAGTCATTCACAGTGGGGTCTTGAATGGTATTTATTTTTTCCCTGGGCTAACCTCTTCCTCTTGTTCTCTCCCCTTTTTGCTTCCTGGTCACCATTAGGTGAGTAGCTTCTCTCTCTCTCCTACATTTTCTCTGCCATATTCGTCTGCATCACCAAAGGCTCATATCAATGAAACCAAATAACTGAAGACAGAAACCTCTGAAACTGCTAGGCAAAATGAACCTTTCCACCTTATGATCATTTCTCTTGGGCAGTTTGTCACTGTATTGCAAAGCTAATTAACACACTTAGTAGCACCTTAGCTTACAAACACACACAAAGGACTCGGTTATTTTCAGCTAAATAACCCAATAGTTATTTTCAGCTAAGTATTTCGTGCTTCCTTGGTGGTGAAGCACTTGGAAATAATATGAAGTATGTTTTACATACATTTAATACATGTTAAGTATATTAAATAGATTACTTGTTTATACCAAGCTAGGTTTGCTCAAGTGTGTAAGTGTACATAAGACACACAGACCTTTTTGTTTCATTTGTGGAGCTTGAACTCTGGGCCTGGGCATAGGCACTGTCCCTGAGCTCTTCAGCTCAAGGCAAATGCTCTACCACTTGAGCTACAGTGCCATTTCCAGTTTTCTGGTGGTTAATTGAAGATAAGAGTTTCATGGGCTTTCCTGCCTGGGTTGGCTTGAACCACGATCCTCAGATCTCAGCCTCCTGAGTAGCTAAGATTACAGGCTTGAGCCGTTAGAGCTCGGCTTACAAAGATTTTTGTATCAGTAAAGTTTAGCAATATAACCAAGAACCCACAAACAAACAAGCAATTCAATGAACAGAGAAATATTATTATTATTGTGGAGTGTTGTTTGATCAGTGTTTTAGGTCAGGTAAGGGGAAATGTGTGAAAACAGATGAGCCGTAAGAGTAGACCATGGAACATAGGCTTCTGAGAAGGCTGAAAGACACTGTGTCACAAAGTTTTCATCTTCATAATGGCAAAGGCCTTGGTAAAATTGCTTCAGGGAAGGACAGATTAGAGTAGGGACAGCAGAGCTTGCTTTCAAATAACATTACACTTCTCCATTGTCTGCCATTTAGAACAGAGCTGTGTGTTATCAGATAGTGCAGAAATAGTGGGAGGTTGTAATAACATACATTTTAAAGGATTTTACTTGAAAAGACAGATTTTGAGCTACTGTGACATCTGTAATGTTCTTTAAATTAGTCTTTTAGCCTTGGTTCAGGAAAGTGAAAGGTTCTGTGTGTTGGGAAACAAGATGGCACAGACAATTCAGACACAAGTCAGAGACAAAATGAAGGCTATCGAGAGATAGAAGCACTTTCCTATCCTTTCCTGTCTGATATCTCCACTCAGTAGTGATTTAAAAAATTAGGGAGATAGATAATCATAGCACACTGGATTTGTGTGCCATTTCAGTTAATTTTCTACTCAAAATAATAAGCTATCACTATATATAATAAGCTGTAGCTACACTTTTGCCTTTAGCAAATTTGATCTAAGCTTCTAGGCAGAGTTCAGTTGTTATCTAGTGAACATTTTGTTTCTTTCTTTTTGACTCAGTTGAAAGGAATCTACTAGAGTATGTTAAAGGGCAATCTCAAAATTAGATGGTAGAAATCTGTAGTAAGAAATTAGAATCTCAAGAAAAGGCAGGCAGAGCAAGTAGAGAAATAACCAAACAAATCAGTTTGAGAGTGTAGAACATTAGAAAATAAAAGACTGAGTAAAGACACCCACACACAGACATTCAGCTACAAACACTGTAACACGTTGTATATTGCAGTGAACTGTTTACCATTCATCAATGTCTGCCCTGGGTGCTATGTTTTGTTCTTTAGCTCTCATAATTACCTTTGATTTGCCAGGGCAGGAAGTACAGGGGTGGGGACAGTGGAAGGATATGAAGGGTAGTTCATATAGTAGTTAACTGTAATTCTTAGCTTTCACAGTTTTGATTTAGATTCTTACTTTTCTGTTTCCTGGAGTTCATTTTGATGAATATTCTTTTATATGATAAGAGGCACAGAGGCATTATGCCTTTGTGTTCCTCTCCTGAGAATTTCCTCCATTGGTCTCACTGTATGTGAAGGCCGAGAATCCTGTATGTCCCAGTGTATTTTAGATCTAGCTTCCACATATGAATGAAAACATGTTTGTCTCTCCAGGTTTGGCTTAACACGGTTTGTTCTAGGTCCATCCATTCTGTCTAAATGACATAATATTATTCTTTCTAGTGGCTGTGTAAAATTCCATTGTGTATAGGTACCATGTTTTTTGGATCTACACATCTGAGCTGTTTCCATAGCTTAGTCATTGTGAGTAGTACAAATGAACAGGAATATACAAGAGTCTTTATGGTGTTTTGGCTTGTGATATTCTGGGTAGATGTTCAGGATTGATATGGCTGGCTCATAAGGAATATCTATGTCAAGATTTTAAGACCCTCCAGACTGTCCAGAATGGTTGTACTAGTTTATATTCCCACCAACAGTACAATAGGGTTCCTTTTAACTTACACACACACACACACACACACACACACACACACACACACACACACACTGGATGCTTAGATATTTTAGAATTTGAGGGAAATTGATCTAGACATACTACTAGCAGTCAAATTTAATGAACAAGTCACATGTACCTGTTTTTCTCCACTTGGCTTTTTGTGGTTCAGTAACAGCTCAACGGCTCCCACCACCTCTTTTCTGATTGCATGTAGCAAAGCATCTCCCACGTAGACATTGAAGCTTAAGAGCAGTTCAATGAGCTCCAAGTTCTCATTTTCAATTGCTATGAGAAGAGCAGTTCTTCCAAGAGGATCAATGCAGTTAATATTGATTTTAAAATAAATCTCAGCTTCCTCTAGGGACTTCTTCACGCTTGCATAGTCTCCCTTTTCCACTGCGTTCAGGTAGGATTTTTCTGAGGGAGAAAGTTCAGATTCTGCTCGGACTATCCTTAGAGGAATGCGGTCTCGATAAGGGGCATTCACGTTTCTTTTGTAGTAGAACTGAGCCATGTCTCATGCCATGCTATGTTTTTTTTTTAGCTCTGAAAAGACACAAAGAAAACACAAAGGTTAGTTTCAGCTATTTGTTGTTAGGGATTGTACTACCTTTCCAAGTCATAATGGTATCTATGACCACACTATTATTATTAGCTGGTGAACTATACATCTTTGACCATAAAAATAGTATTTATTCAGTTAACAAGAAACACAAAGCCTTAATGTAAAAGGAATAAAAAGAGGTACCTGACAAGGGATTTTAAAAATCACCCTACTAGAAACATTTCATTGTGACTGCAACTAGAGAATTTTGGAAACTATTTACACATATTTTCATAAGTGCAGAGAGAGAGAGTTTTAGCAAAATACTTTGAAAATCTCAAGCTGTGTTTCGTCTCTGAAGTTTCCAAATTGGATCTGTTTGTTGAAGTTCATCATTGGTCATCAGGTGTGTGAGTCATATATTTGCTGCTGTAACAATAGAGGCTAATTATATTGACCAAATACTTCTCAACGTTATTTAATCTGTTCTTTGAAAGTTAGTGTTAATTAATAATATTAAAGTCATTAAAACACTATGCCTGAAACTCATTGATTAAAGTGTGGTTTTATTGTGGGTAAATTAATCCATTTTGGGTGAATAATTATAGTAATGCCTTGATTATATCAACTATTAAGATAAATATAAGCAATTCACTTTCTAAATGAAGGAGTTGGAAAAGGATTAAACAGAGAAAGAGTGCATTAAGAAAAGATTATCTTTTACACTTCTTATCTTTATATGGTGGAAAATAAGCCATGAGGCAAGATGTACTTATTACAAAACTTACTATTATTCAAAAGTTTTAGTAAAGATATGAAGATGAAGAAATTATTTCAAATAAAAATGAAGTTAAAATGAGTTAATAAAGTCACCACATTAAGTTAGTGTCATATTGGCAGGGCTTAGTTAGTGATAAAAATTTGTGGAAAATGCAACATATTTTAACCCAATTTCTTTATTGTAATTAATTGTTCATTTCACACTTGTTACTTGAAATATTTTATTCTTGTTTGATATGTAAGTTAAATCTGCATTTGGCTTTTTTATATTTGCTATGTGAAAATTAAAATGAATGGCCCAATTTGATTGTGTATATTTTCATATTAATTCATATTCATAGACCTCATTTTGTGAGCAAATTAATATGATTTGAATGTTGCTTTCAATGTAAACTTAAATCATATTGTTATACTATGTAATTATATAACATAATGACATTATATATCATATATAACACATATAGCATACATAATATATAATGTATAGTGTAATTTTATATGTTATAATGTATCCTTATATACTAAAGTGAATTATAGGTGATCTGAATGCCACATTTATGCCTCAGTAGTGGCATGAATATATTTGCCTTAGTCAGTGGTAACCCGTTTCCCCAATAACTCTTTCTTAGCCCCAAGTAGAAGAAGATTTGGCTTCCGAAGAACATTTGGCTTCAATGTCAAGACCCTCACAGTGTGATCTTGCTAAGATGACGGGGTTCACAGTGATAACAATCAGTATTTACAGTTGATTATAGCATGCTACATAACTTTCTCTTTTAAAAATTTTTTAATTGTGAAAATAATGTACAGAGGGGTTACAGTTACATGGGCAAAATAATGAGTACATTTCTTATCAAGCATTGTAGCCTCCTCCTTTGTTTCCCCTTCCCATCCCTTCCCATCCTCCCCCCCCCCCCCTCCCCCCGTGCCCCCCCCCCCCCCCCAGCCAAGGTTGTAAAGTTCATTTCTATAATTCCACTTTGCCCTTACCCATGACTTTTGGGGAGATACACAAATTGTTCTTTTAGAGCTGAATTCAAATTTTCTTAGTACTAATAATTTTTTTACTTGAAACAAGTTTTGGTTGTAAGGTACTCAAATTACAGGCTGAAATAAAAATACATGTGCATCCACACACAATTGCAGATGCAGACACAGCCCATATACCGTCTCAGACCTTGATGTTACCAAACCAAGAATTCGATGGGAAACTACCTTTTACTTCTCGTTTTCAAAGTATAAGACATCAGTGAGAATAACAGGTTGATGCCCAGCACAGTAGGAATCCCAGAACACAGGAAGAGAACAAAGAAGGGAAATTTAACTAAATAATAAGCAAGCTCATTTAATCCAGTTAACATCCGTGAATGTAGACAAGATAGCTCATTTTTAAAAGAGTGATGGTATGCTGAAAGAAAATTACAAGCCAACACTGTATTTCAGATTTAAGCTGAGCATAAGATATTATATTAGAGAATCTGCTCTCCATCCATAAAGTGAGGAAATGGACAAGTACAAAGGAATGGGTGAGAGAATAGGAACCAATGAGAAAGGTCTTTTTTAAGCTTTTTTGGTCTCTTGGATTTGAAAAATTATAAGAACTTACCATTGACAGAGCTGAAGAGATTTAAAGTACTTTTAAATTTTATGTGTATTAAGTAAGTAAAAATTAGGTATTTACAATGGAATATTAAAATATGCACATAAGGGTGTCAACAGAGAGAGAGAGAGAGAGAGAGAGAGAGAGAGAGAGGAGAAAGAGGGAGAGAGAGGAAATGATAACTGACGGTAAGAACCTTAAAAAATATGAGGAGATTATATAACTTTCCATGCTAGAATTGTCCTCTGTGATTACTTGAGGTGCAGGGAATCCTAACAGAAGGACACAACCCAAGTTCAACATTGAAAACTGTGCTGTCTAAATGCACAAGCAAGTGGAAAGTACAGATAAGGCAGACAGACTCCAAAGCTGACACACTTATCAGCAACTACAGAATTGCTGCTGGATGGAAAAATCAGTGGAAGAACACAGGAGCTGATACAGAAAGCAACTTGAGCTGAAATGTTAAAATGAAAGCCTATTCCTCATTTTGCCCTTCCAGAATAAATTTTCTGGATTGAAATATATATATATATATATATATATTTATTTATTTATTTATTTATTTATATATATATATATATATATTGTCTGTAATAAGATTACAAAATGTGACAGAACCTTTCATTCAATGCCCCTTAATAATATAAAAATTTGGAAAATCTTCATCTAATTATGTTTCAAAGGCTCAGAAAACAGATGGGAAGTGATGGGTGGGGGTCGAGTGGGAAACCCTCAAATTAATTATAATTTAATTTCTCTTAAGTGTGTTAGGGATTTTTTTTAATGCAAAGATGTAGAAAGAGTTTTATTTTGCCATTGCTTCCAAAAGGAAAGAAAATTAACTTGTCACTAACTAGGAAAATCATACTTATATAAACAACATCAGATATATAAGAAAAGAAAAATTATAGATAATCTATGTAGATTGCAAGACATGTTTCCTGAAGCCTCCCTGTACAGTGGATAATAGAGTGAATTTTAATTCCAAGGAACTTGTGGAATGAGACAGTAGAGTAATTTCTCCCTTTGGGTCACATTGACTGGGGTCCCCCAGTCTTGTTTTTGTTCTCTCTTCTTTGTGTGGTTCCTAGTCCGATGATGTGTTTCATCATATTTCTTCATGTTTATGTTTCCATGGAGATTGAAGACTTCTACGTGTTGGCCACTATTATGCACACTTTATGTTTCACTTGTGCTGAAATATGATGTGAAATAGCCAAAATACACAAAAAATATTTTACTTAAAATACTACATCCTCAAATGTTAAAGAGAGAAGTTGAGACTGTTCTTCTAACCTGAAATCCACATAGCACCTAACAAGATCTAAATTTACAATTAGGTGCTCAATATAATACATGTTTTTAATTTTTTTTCCTGTTCCCAAAGTGAGGCTTGAAGTCAAGGCCTCACACTCTTGCTTTTTACTCAAGGCTAACTTTCTACCATTTGAGCCACACATGCCTCCATTATTACCATTATTAGCTTTGTGCTGATTAATTGGGGATACAGTCTGTCAGGTTTGTCTGCTAGGGCTGGCTTAGAACCATGATCCTCAGATCTCAGCAACTGAATAGAATTACAGATGTGAGCCAGCAGCACCTGGCAATATATGAATTTTTAAAAATATTTTTTCTTTTTCCTGCATTGCTATTGTTATTATATAGGTGATATACAGAGTGGTGACAGGGATACAAGACAGATAAAGAGTATGGTCCTTTTTGCACAATATAACCTCTTCCCTTGCTCTCTCCCTGTTTTTCCCTCTAGTCCCTACCCACAAGTTGTATAATTCATTTTCAACATGGTGTCTAATGAGTATCACTGCTGCATTTAAAAAAGAAGTATTAGCACGGAATAAGATATTTACTTAGTTGTTTTTTTTCCTATGTTGTAGGATTTTGAAAACATATTTCTTAAAGTATATAGAAACACAACAAATCAAAGAATGGTTAGATAAATGGGATTGCATGAAGCTGCAGATCTTCTGCATGGCAAAGGACGTAGCTAACAAGATCAACAGAAAACCCACGAGTTGGGAGATCTTCACTAGCTATACAATGGACAAGGGTCTCATATCTAAAATATACGTGGAACTCAAAAAATTAAATCCCCCAACAACAAATCCTCAAAGAAACAATTGCCCAACAAATAAGTGGGGTAAAGACTTAAAGAGAAACTTCTCTAAAGAGGAAATAAGAACGGTCAATAGACACATGAAGAAATGCTCAACCTCTCTAGCCTAAAAGAAATGCAAATCAAAACATTGAGATTCCACCCTACCACAGTTAGAGTGACTATAATCAAGAACTCTAACAACAACAGATGCTGGAGGGGATGTGGAGAGAAGGGAACCTTACTTCATTGTTGGTGGGAATGTAAACTTGTTCAACCACTTTGGAAAGTAGTATGGAGGTTCCTCAAAAGACCCAGAAATCCCACTTTTGGGCATTTACCCAAATGATCACAAACAAGACCAGACTAAGGCTACCAGCACAACTATGTTTATTGCAGCATTATTTACCATAGCTAAGATATGGAACCAACCCAGATGATCCTCAGTAGATGAATGGATCAAGAAAATGTAAGATATATATATATATATA